TATTCAACGATTCTGTAGAAAAGTATTAAATATATCAAGGGAAAAACCGCAATATAAATATAACTAACAAAAAAAACTATATACCAATTAAATGTTAAGTTACAATGTATTCCTGAAAATAACTGTCTGCTACAACTTACATTAATATTATTATTTTATAACAGAGAAAATCGCAGAACAAATAATAATACTGAAACACGATTAAGCTTCGCGGCTTCTTCATATTTTCACGGTGGTTCGTGACACCGTCCGGCCCGTTCGTGACCACCGTGCACATATATTCCCGCCATCCGTTACTCAAACTTCCAGATGGAGTCCAACATGTTTCAGACAAATTATAAATATTTGTAATGTTTAAATAGTAATACAACTCATTTGTTATTTCATTAAAAAGCTATTCTTTCAGGTAACAATTAAAAACATTTCGTTATGTGTTGCTATAAATTATATTTAGTAAATTATGTTAATCGACACCGGTGGTTGCAAAAAATCTCATTTGCTTAATTATTATTTAATATTAAAACTACATTTAACGAATACTAGGTGCACGATGCATCAGGTCGACGCCTACTATAATTCCAATTAATTTCTTATACTAAAATGGGTACGGCAACATTAGCGTCACACACCGATCGGGCGGGTATCGAACGCGCGCACTATCAGCACTTTCCCCGTAGTGGCACACAGCTTAGGGTTGTCGCCTAATAGAGAACAGCTTAGGGCCACAACATAACTAGTATTTTAAAAATAAAATAAATATTTTTTAAATACTCAACAATATTTACTGTGACAACTATTCGACTATTATAGGAATCGTTATTATTAAACTGTTTTGAGGAAAACTTCAAATATTACATTTCGATGTAGTTGCTGGAAAATCTTGAAACTTTCCATTTGTAAGTGAGAACTACCTGAGGTGTGATAATGAAATCTTGGAAATAATTAGGAACGTCGTGTTCCGAAACTGTTCTCAACGGCAAAATATTTAATATTATGGACGTTATAATTAAAATATATCGTTTTGTTTTCATTGCTGATACTAATTCATGAAAGGGATTCCCTATCTGGAAAATCTGGACATTAAATGCTTTATTTAAATAGGCGTCCACATACGGGGAAAAAGCCGTGATATTACAGTCTATGGATTTCTGATGGTACTAAGTTAAAATAGGTCAAAAAATGTTTACCTCCTTTAGTAGTTTTATACATAACGTCTTATGTTCCCATGTACTTATGTATATTTGTTGTGCAGCTTGGCAAGCAGCCAAGCAAATCGGCCAAGCTTTGTATGGACTAAAAGTTAAGGTTTAACACGGCAGATGACAACCGCGTCGACTCAGCGCATTTATAATCAGATCTAAGACAAAAGCACACGTTTTCGAACTGTTTCCAACAAATATGGCAAGCACATTGTAAATACGTATCTTTGCGTGTGTTTTCTTGTTAGTGTGTCAACGTAACTGTCAACAGTTTGACACACCTGACATTCAATTAAATCCACGTTTATATCGTGACAACATCTACTGTTATTGAAGATTGCCTTTTTATTTGGAAAGTAAATAAAACAAGAAACCTTTATCATTCTATTATGCTTATTGCAATATACGTTGTACTATTAAATAAGACATTATTATAACAAACGAGTTAACAGACACCTTCTCTATTGACATAAATGTAACGGGCTATCGTCCGGCTCGTTGGTGTAATGGTAGCAATGTCGCGGGTCAACGGGACGTGGGTTCAATTCCCACCGAGTCTAACATGTTTCGAATCAATTTATATTTTTTTGAAACATTTAAATAAAACACTCTAACGGTTTAAAACGCGATATATTAGTCCCCCCGTGACCACGGCTGCTGCAAAGCATCCGAAACGTCGGGCCGAAGTTAAAAATCATTTCCAAATAAGTTTAACTATTATATATCGCGTTTTAAACCGTTAAATTGTTTTTTTTAAATGTTCCAAAAAAATATAAATTGATTCGAAACATGTTAGAGTGTTTTATTTAAATGTGTACTACTCGCGTAAACTATAGACAGTATTTTTTGAAACATGTTGGACTTCGGCTGGAAATCTGGATATAAATGCATGGTAGGAATATCGAAATTCCGTCCGCATCACGAACCGACACACAGATAAAAAAAGCCGTGAAGTTTAATTGCGTTCGGGCTTCAGTCTGTGGATTTCCAAATATTTAAAGCCAAATTAGGTCGACAGCAAAAGAAAAGAAAGAAACAAGAAATTCATATTTAGATGTTACATGACTGAGGTATTTCACCTACCATCATGAACTTCATGCTTCCTCTATCATAAAACAAACAAAACATTCCACTTCATTCACACACTAACACAGAAGCATTCAAATAGCCACCCACTTCGTCATTATCAAAAGACTTTAATTTTATTATATACAAGTTATGTATAATTACGTTCTCCAATTGTAGGTACATAACTTGGAAGACAGGCTATTAAAACATAATGCAAAAAATTGATTTAAGTAGATAAACATCTAAATAATACCTATAACTTCCCGTTGATATATCATTTTTGCATAACAATGGGACACAAACAGGTTATTACGAAACCAACTCACACTTGACCGGCGAATATTTTAACCTGAAAAACGCACAACTAATCCGCAAGTCACAAATTATTGGAGCAGACCTAAATCAGAGTACAATTGCAATCTCGTTAAATTCAACATAGAATATTTTCCTATTCAACACAGATTTTATTGTCATCTTTAAAATAAACTGCATCAGAGTTTATCTTAAGCGGTGACCTGTAACAATTTAATGGTTGTCAGAGAAATCTTAATGTTGCTTCAGTCACTTTTCAAGATAACTCCTAACTGGCTTTTAAAAGTTCGTGAGAGGGCAAGCATTCTACGTCTTTACGTTGTTTAATGAGATCTTGTTAGTCTAGTGTTCATTGGACTCGACTGATGTTCATGAGTCCCTGGTTCGAAGCTTTGTGCGAAATTATAAATCTGTTTTTGGTAATTTGGCGCCATTGGCGTCCAAGAAACAAGTTATTAACTATTAATTTACAAACACAGAATAATGCGTAATTCTTTGTCTTAATTCCTGGAACGTTAAACACTGTCTGTAGTTCAAGCGAGTAGTACACATTCATACATATATCGCGTTTTAAACCGTTAAAGTATTTTATTTTCTTGAACCTTGTAGCGAGTAGAGATATAAAACTCATGTTTATTTGTATAGTGTTCTCAAGTAAGTGATTTTCTTTAAATCTTTTTTTAAATACAATTTAATGTACCAGTCCTGAATTTCAAATTCAAGACAACCATCCGTTACTGAAAAGCAAGATACTTCTGGGTTGTCACTAACTTAGTAGCGTTAGTTGTTGAAGACCACCAACCCTAGAAACTTAGAAATGAAGTGTGGCAAAAAAGGCTTATATAAAATAAGATAATGATTACTTTATTACTTAAAGTTGTTCAAACACACAAATTGTCAACAACAGTCTATATTTTCGCATAGCTACGAAATAAATTTGAATAGTTGCGTACTAACACCAAAATAGTAGAAAATTGGATTTATTAATAATAACAAACTCTTAATAGACACTCGGCTCTAATAATGAATTTAGTTAAACTTGAAGAAAGTTAAATAAAGCTAAACAAATGAAAGGTTAAGAACTATATTATTAGTTTCAAATTACGAATAAGAAAGCTTGTAATTGGCAATTTAGGATGCTTGAAAGATTTCTTAGACCCTACTGAAGTTACATTTAAATTTCGCAGACATTTTCAAATCGTCACTCGTATACTAAGAGCTATAAATAATAAAAGAATTAGATCTATACTAATATTATAAAAGCGAAAGTAACTCTGTCTGTCTGTCCGGCGTAAACTCCAAAACTACAAAATTGTTTTAAATGCAACTTGGTACACAGATATTTTAGAGCCTGAAAAAGGACATAAGCTACTTTTTAATGCCAAAAAGGGTTGATAGGGGTTGAAAACGGGGGTGAAAGTTTGTGTGAAGAATCGTGGTTTTTGAAGTGGTTTTGAACAATGAAACTTTCTTTTTTGGCTTTTAGGGGAATAGGAGTGGGAGTGGGATTGAGAGTGGGAGTGGGATTGGGAGTGAGTGTAAGAGTGAGAGTAGGAGTGATGTGAGGTGAGAGTGTTGCGGCAAAGTAGGTCTTACATCATCGATTAGTTGCCTCAAATGCACTTTTACAAAAAAAATAAACAGTCTAAATAATTAAAAATTCTACCCCACTATTCCACGCGGACGAAGTCGCGGGCACAGCTAGTAATAAATATAAGAATAGTTTGTTCAAACGCTCTAATATCAGGAAATTATGTTTCGGAATGAAAAATGTTTTTTGTTAGATAGAAAATTTATCGAGGAAGGCTTTAGCCTAAATAATATCCCGCAGCGACTAATAGCGAAGAAACAGTGGGAAAGTGGAAAAACAGCTGAAAAAATATTAATCTTTGAGCTTACGTTGTGCGCAAATAAATATATAAAACAAATAATCACGTATAAAAAAATGATTCCTCTTTGAATGATGTAAATAATGGCCTCCACAATATATGTTTATCTTTTAAAATAAACTCGCAAGAACCCTTTTTAGAGCTTGGAAGAAGAAGGTGTCATCAGATTGTGATTGAGGCAGCTAGAGGCAGACTGGCCTCCATCAAAACACGTTTTCAATAAGGGGGAAAATAAAAATGCACAATTATTTCGTACTATTGCGAAAATTAATATGTACTATTATTTGTGTTGTAACAATTTTAGACTATGAAAATATAAATGACTCCAGCATAAAATTGCGATTAGGCTATTCTGCCTCTAGTGGCCTCAATTGTCTCCTATGAAAAGATCTAGAATTGGGACATCTTTTTAAAAAGGGAACAAAAAAAAAACAATAATAAATGAAAATGTCTATGTGTATTAATATTGAAATTCAATTTTAGATGTAAGGACAAGTGGTAATTTTGAACGATTTTTGCTAACTGTACTTATATGCAATTATGCACGGCGCCCCAATATTGCGGTACGAACAGTGAACGACTCTCTATAGTGCACCTTTTGCAGTTCTACACCGAAGTGGAAATCTTAAATGGTATTCGCTTTAAAAGTGCTTTCTCAGCGGAGATTGAGTACTTAGTGCACTTATATGGAGAGTTAATTTTCTTCAATGCACTAAATGTTTCACTATATACTTGCTGCGGGAAGAAAAGGGGCTCAGAATCAATTGGTTCGAATCCTGAGAACTACAAGTTCCGTGCCTTTTTTGGCGATTATAATACTGGTGATAATAAAAATGAGAACTGACTTGAAATAGCACAAAAAAATGACAATATTAGATTTAAAATTTTTATGCATCATGTTGGACTTTGTTTAGAAATGAAATGTGAATTAGTATTAAATTGGTACAAAGTAGGAATATCACAATTCAGTCCGGGTCACAAACCACGTAATATAATAAAGTTTAATACCATTTCGGTTTAAAAGTGCAAAGCCAAATAAGTCACAGCTCATCTTGTTTGTTTGTTTGTTATATGGCTGGGTTATTGCGCCTTCCATCAAGTATAGGGTTTACTTAGTAGTCTTAGTACTTAGCTAGTCCGTCCTTCTCTATCATAAAAATAAATCTACGCTTTAGGCGAAATATAGACTCCGAGGCCACAGCTGCTGATTAGCTTAGCAAAACATCGGATATTAAAATAAATTGTAAACAAGTAAATTAATATATTCTTAAACCGTATTTAAACAACTCTTTTTATTATTATTCAATCTGGAATTTTCTTTGCGAAGTCATCAACAGTAACTTACAAAGGTTTTTGTTTTCGAAGAATCAAAGGATCGATTCGTTTGGAAGCATCAAACGTTCGAGGGCCAATTAATTATGTGAAATTAAATTAGATGCCAGAGAGTCTGTTTATTTAAAATAGTTTTAATCAAATAAAAACGATTCAAAAGCCTTAATAGTCTAGTGTTTAGAGCACCTGCATTACGTTAGTGATTTCGGAAATTCACATCTCGGATGTACGATTAATTTACTTGCATATACCGTTATACCGCTCTTTTGTAGAGTGTGTCTAGACAAAAAAAGAAGTCGAGACTACGAAGAAACTATGATGTTTTATATCTTCTTGTCTTTTTAGGTAACTGATAAGTTTGAAAACTGGACCGTATTATTAACACTACTGAAACAGCAATTTCAATGTATGTTTTATCCAGCTATATCTCAACTAAGTACGCTCTATAGTTTACGCGAGTAGTACACATTTAAATGAAACACTTTAACGGTTTAAAACGCGATGTATTAGTTAAACTTATTTGAGGAGACCATAACGATAGACGGGTGTCCCCGTGACCACGGCTGCTGCAAAGCATCCGAAACCTCGGGCCGAAGTTAAAAATCATTGTTCAAATAAGTTTAACTAATATATCGCGTTTTAAACCGTTAAAGTGTTTTATTTAAATATATCTCAACTATTATAATTAGATAGAAAACCAATTTTTTGGTTGCCTAAAAAAATTTATTAAATATTTAAGGGTAACTCTTATATAAATGCTTATCTACACTAATATATAAGCTGAAGAGTTTGTTTGTTTGAATGCGCTAATCTCAGGAACTACTGGCTCGAATTCAAAAATTCTTTCTCTGTTAGAACATTTATTGAGGAAGGTGCAGCAAAACATGGCGCTGTGATAAACAGAAGCGAAGAAACAGCGGGAAATGTCGAAAAACGGAGAAAATGATTAACGTGGGTTTCATTACGTACGCTGCGATAAGGGTTTACGCTACCTTAAAAGTATGTATTAAAGAATTATTCTTCTTTAATATAAAAAAAAGTCCGCGACAGTATGTGTCTATCTTTTAAGATTAACTTGTATGAACGACGGGACGCTGATGACGTCGTGGGTTATTCGAATTTATAGTGTTTAACAGAGGGTTTGCAAACCAAAAATTTATATCCAAAATTTTACGCGTACAAAGTTGCGTGACTCGGCTAGTAAGAATACAAGCATTTACTTGTAATAACAAAAAAACAAAAAGAAGATGCCAGTTAAATGTATGTTGTTTACTGATTACGGGGCCCTTTGTTTACAGCTCTTACTCGCACTTGACCGTTTTTTTTCCCTAGTCATTATAACGTAAGAAACATTGCCCACTAACGAATTAACCAATAGATAAGGACCGTGTCCAATATCAACTGTTGTAAGGTCGACCCGCACATGATTATAATCAAGTTATATTTTTCTGAAATACTGGACTTTAAACCTGGATATTAAGTGGGTGGTAGTTCTATTGAAATTTCGTTCGGGTCACGAACCACCGTCCTTTTCGGTTACAGTATTTCCGAATATCCAAAGCCATAACAGCTGGGATTTCATCTTCTATCATGTTTGTCATGAACATCATGTTTGTCTATCCTCCTTTATCATAAAATAAAACAAAGCTAACGGAAGGTAATATTTAGCCCGCGAATAGATTTTAAACTCACGAACGCACGATTTTCAATCTCTAGACCAAAACGGCTACAAGTTTTGTGTTCATAATTGCCAAATTCCTTGCAAGTATAGTATTTTTCGTAATATTGTAATTTATGTTAAACAAATATGGCGGGCTCATTTAGTATGCCCGAGTTAAGAGCTTTTGTACAACGGGTGCTTGAGAATGAATTTAATATCAATATTGAGTATATAAAGTGGATTGTCTATCGTATATTTTTGCATAAACAATAGAGTTAGTAATTGGAATTATTATTTTATGATCTTTTCATTCGTTGCGTTTTGTATTCTAGACGTGAAAGCTTTACAGAAATTAAAATTTATTTAGATTGAAATAATTCGCGACACGGGCGGGACTTATACCGGCATTCACGGTTATTATAAAATAATAATAATTCCACCTTGTATAGGCCATCCTTGTTAGTAAGAAAATAGAAAATAAATTCCCTAAATTAGCTGAAAGTGCTAAGCGAAAAACGTAAATTTTAAAAATTATATAGTGATCAATTTAACGCATTAGAAATTATTAAACGTGGACTATGTTATAGAAAGGAGATTTTCGTATAGTAATTTTCATTTTTTAGTGCAATATATTTACAAAAGACAATTTTCTTACTACATTATCACGTTTTCCTCAGCTATAAATTAGCAGAAACACGCATATCGGATGGTTTTTGCGCTGAACCACTCTTGAAGACGTGGATAATGGAACGGAAACCTTATTTCCTCTCGTGGCGAATGGCGTAGAATACATTGCATCGTGGTAAGCCTTAATACCTCTTCGCATGTACTTGCATATTTTCGCATTTCCCGCTTTTCTTACGATATCTTATAAGAGAGATTTTATTAAAACAGTTTCGTATTCAATATCTGAGGCATTTAAGTTCTAATATCAAATACGTGTAGTAAATGCCAATTGATAACTCACTAATAGTTCAATTCAATTGTTGAATTCCTGCTATGTTGGTAGAGCAACCAAGTTTAGTTTATTTTTGATAGATGAGGACGGATAAGCATGAGGTTGTTTAAACAAGATGTGTCATCGACTTATTTCGGCTTAAATATTCGGAATTCCATAGATTTTTATCGAAACTTTAAAGGTTTTTTATGTAGACGGTAGTTGCACTGGACGGAATTTCGATATTCCTACCGACCATTTAGAGTCCCAGATTTTTTTGAAAATCAAAGACTTTTCAGAAGATATATAAATTTATTTTGAGAAACATTGTCAATTCATAGAGCATAGAACCCACGACCCGTTAGTTATAACGTAGCTTATCATTGGACCAACTTGCCCGACAATAAAAAAAATGTACACAAATGTCATTGTAAGTCGCATAATATTCATTGTGTTGTTTTTTGTTATGATATGGCATTATTTACTGTCTGTACTTTACGCGAGTAGTACACATTTAAATAAAACACTTTAACAGTTTAAATCGCGATATATACTAGTTAAACCATAAATACAAATACAGCCGTGGTCACGGGGAGATTGACGGAGTCTTCCTGTGTCACGCTGTAAAGCATCCGAATTATATATCACGTTTTAAATCTTTATTTAAATATATTAACTTTAAAATAACATACAGTACAGATTTGTAGGGTATAAATCTCATGCATATGTTAGCCACACCTGTTTCGTAAGTTCGTCCGAAGTTTGTATCGGAAACCTCCGTATCCAAAGCCAGCTATTTGAAATTGAATAAGTATGCTACTTTAAATATGTCACGCACGTGTGGGAAAGCTAAGAAAGTTCCGTTTGAATGCGAAGAAAAGCCGTCGAGTTTGAGAATCTTTACGCGATTATTCAGCGCGTAAAAGTTACTTGACGCCTTGTTTGCATAAAATCATTATTATCTAAATAAGCGGCTTGGGGGGAAATAAATCGACTGAATTGTCCATATTATTTTTATTAACGCTTCGAAAATAACAATGTTTAAAATTAAAAATGTTCGTCGTATTCTCTTTTGTTGTTCTATCTTTAAAAACTGTCGGTAGATATTTATATTTTATTTATAAAACACTTTATCGGTTCAAAACGCCTAGTTCTGCGAATGAAACGTCGGGTCGTAGTTAAAATAATATTTAAACAAGCTTATTAGTTACGATTACACATACAAATTATTTATTTATTTAACCTTTTAAACTGTTGTGTCAACGCGAGATGATATCGCATAGAAAGTGACGTCATATGTGTGACGTGGTTCTTGAATCCAAAGTTAAAAAGTTGTAATGTATGTAAAAGTAATATATTTTTATCAAACAGGGAATTTGACTTCTTACGCAAAACCAAGCTCAAAATATCTCCCTCTAGCCGTTATTCAGCTGCTAAACAGAAAAAAAAGTGAAAGCCCGTTTCCCCCTCGTGGGGCGAACACATTTCTGTGTCCGTTTCACTGATCCGATCTTTCAATGGCCAAGTAGTTGATCAGATTTCTGTGCCCTGCCCGACCGAAACAATTTTATGTGTCCCTGGGATTTGAACCCAGAATCCGTCACGCTTAACGTAATGCTAAGCAATACGTTTAACCATTTGGCTAGAGAGGCGGAAATACGGCTAAATAGAGCATGGAAATAATTAAAGCTATTCCTTAACTCGAATAAGAATAACTAATTAGATTTGCTATTTCTCAACCGCGTTATCTCCAATTAGCGAGTTGCGTGGTTTATTATTTCGATCTTGATTCTTAATATTTGTAGATATTTAGCAATTCATTTTTTTTTTTCATTTGCTGCCAGAAGATATAACTATTTGCTAGTGTCATGTTAAACGCTGTGGTAAAAGTAGGATTATAAATACACAATTCTGT